TGTCCCCAATGTCCCCAAGGTCCCCAAACCCCTCAATGTCCCCACTGTCCCCAAATATCACCAGTGTCCCCAAATCCCCCAATGTCCCCAATGTCCCAAATGTCCCCGATCCCTTCAATGTCTCAAATCCCCCTCAGTGTCCCCACTGTCCCCAAATGTCCCCCAATGTCCCAAATGTCCCCATTCCCCCACAGTCCCCAATCCCAGTGTCCCCAATGTCTCCAATCCCCCCCTGTCCCTGCTGTCCCCATTGTCCCCAGGTGTCCCCACTGTCCCCAAGTCCCTGCTGTCCCCACTGTCCCCAATGTCCCCAAATCCCCCCTATTCCCCCAATATCTCCAATGTCCCCAATCCCCTCACTGTCCCCAATGTCCCCAAGTGTCCCCATGTCCCCAATGTCCCCTCAATATCCCCAATGTCCCCAGTGTCCCCAAACTCCTCAATGTCCCCAAGTGTCCCCAGTGTCCCCGCTGTCACCATCCCCACTGTGCCCAATGTCCCCTCAATGTCCCAAATCCCATCAATGTCCCCAATGGGGGGGATTTGGGACATTGGGGACATTTCTGGGATATTGGGGACATTGGGGACATTTGGGGACATTTATGGGATTTGGGGACATTGGGGACAATGCGGGTATTGAGGACATTGGGGACATTGGGAACATTCAGGTTTGGGGACATTGGGGGAATTGGGGGGGATTTGGGACATTGGGGACATTTCTGGGATATTGGGGACATTGGGGACATTTGGGGACATTGAGGGGATTTGGGGACATTGGGGACATTGAGGGGACATTGGGAACATTCAAGCTTGAGGACATTGCAGGGATGGGGGGATTTGGGACACCAGGGACATTTGGGGACATTGGGGACATTGGGGACATTTACGGGATTGGGTACATTTGGGGACATTGAGAGGATTGGGGATGCTGGGGACATTGGGGATATTTGGGGACATTGGGTGCATCAGGGACATTTTTGGGACATTTGGGGACATTGGGGACATTCGGAGACATTTGGGGACTTCAGAGACATTGGGGACATTGGGGACATTTATGGGATTTGGGACATTTGGGGACATTTGGGACATTGAGGGAACTGGGGACACCGGGGACATCGGGGATATTTTTGGGGACATTGGGGACTTTAGGGACACTGGGGACATTGGGGGATTTGAGGACATTGGGGACATGAGGGACATTGGGGACATTGGGGGAATTGGGGACATTGGGGACTTTAGGGGACATTTGGGGACATTGGGGACATTGGGGATATCTGGGGACATCAGGGATATTTTTGGGACATTGGGGACATTGGGGGGATTTGGGGACATTGGGGACACTGGGGACATTTATGGGATTTGGGACACTCGAAGTCACCTGGGGGTGACATTGGGGGGGCAGGGGTCACAGGGGACATTGGGGACACCCGGGGGACACGGGGTGACACAGGGTGACACAGGGTGACACAGGGACAGGCAGGGGGACACTGGGGGTGTCGGAGGGGACATGGGGGGACACAGGAGGTGGCAGGAGGTGGCAGCAGGTGGCACAAGGTGGCAGCAGGCGGCAGGAGGTGGCAGGAGGTGACAGCAGGTGGCAGGAGGTGGCAGCAGGTGGCAGCAGGTGACAGGAGGTGGCAGCAGGTGGCAGGAGGTGACAGGAGGTGGCACAAGGTGACAGCAGGTGACAGCAGGTGACAGGAGGTGGCAGCAGGTGACAGCAGGTGGCAGGAGGTGACAGCAGGTGGCAGCAGGTGACAGGAGGTGGCAGGAGGTGACACAAGTGACACGGCAGGTGCCAGCAGGTGAGTTGAGGTGACAGGAGGTGACACACAGGTGACACACATGTGACACAGTACGTAACACACAGGTGACACAGGTGACAGGTGAAACACAGGTGACACAGGTGACACAGTTACGAAGTGACACAGAGGTGACACAGAGGTGACACAGGTGACACACAGGTGACACAGGTGACACAGATGACACACAGGTGACAAACAGGTGACACACAGGTGACACAGAGGTGACACAGAGGTGACAGGGGCTCACCGCAGCGCAGGCGCAGCGTCACCTCCATCATGGCCGCGGTGGCACAGGTGACACAGGTGACACAGTAACACAGGAGGTGACAGAGGTGACACAGGTGACAAACAGGTGACACACAGGTGACAGAGAGGTGACAGAGATGACACAGAGGTGACACAGATGACACAGAGATGACATAGAGGTGACACACAGGTGACACACAGGTCAGGAGGTGACAGAGGTGACACAGGTGACAAACAGGTGACACACAGGTGACAGAGAGGTGACAGAGATGACACAGAGGTGACACAGATGACACAGAGATGACATAGAGGTGACACACAGGTGACACACAGGTGACACAGAGGTGACACAGGTGACAAACAGGTGACACACAGGTGACAGAGAGGTGACACAGAGGTGACACAGGTGACACACAGGTGACACACAGGTGACAGAGAGGTGACAGAGATGACACAGAGGTGACACAGATGACACAGAGATGACATAGAGGTGACACACAGGTGACACACAGGTGACACACAGGTGACACAGGTGACAAACAGGTGACACACAGGTGACAGAGAGGTGACACAGAGGTGACACAGGTGACACAGAGGTGACACACAGATGACAGAGAGGTGACACAGAGGTGACACAGAGGTGACACAGGTGACACAGATAACACAGTGTACATAGCACACAGGTAACAGAGGTGACACAGATGACACACAGGTGACACAGGTGACACAGGTGACACACAGGTGACACACAGCTGACACAGGAGGTGACATGGGTGACACAGAGGTGACAGGGAGGTGACAGGGGCTCACCGCAGCGCAGGCGCAGCGTCACCTCCATCATGGCCGCGGTGGCACAGGTGACACAGATAACACAGTGACACACAGGTGACACAGGAGGTGACATGGGTGACACACAGGTGACACTCAGGTGACAGGGGCTCACCGCAGCGCAGGCGCAGCGTCACCTCCATCATGGCCGCGGTGGCCTCGGTGTCCCCGGGGCGCAGGAAGGGCCGGGCGCGGGTGGCGCGGGGGGGGAAGGGCACGGCCCAGGCCCCCCCGAAGAACTCGGCGCTGGCCACCAGGAGCCGGACACCGGGAGCCACCACCCCGGGGGCCACCAGGCTGGCCACCAGCCCTGAGGGGACACCGGGGTCACCGAGGGTGAAATTCAAAAAAAAACCCCATTGATTCCCAAAATATTCCATTGATTCCCCCCAAATAACGCCATTGATCCCAAAAATTCCATTGATTCCCAAAAAATCCCATTGATTCCCCCCCAAAAAACCCCATTGATCCCAAAATATTCCATTGATTTCCCCCAAAAAACCCCATTGATCCCAAAAACACCCCATTGATCCCAAAAAGGGTCCCAGGGGCCACCACCCCGGGGGCCACCAGGCCGGCCACCAGCCCTGAGGGGACACCGCGGGGTCACCGAGGGCACGGATCCCAAAAAAACCCCATTGATCCCAAAATATTCCATTGATACCCAAAATATTCCATGGATTCCCCCAAAAAACCCCATTGATCCCCCCAAAAAAATCCTGTTGATCCTAAAAGAAATTCCATTGATCCCCCCAAAAAACCCCCATTGATCCCCAAAAATTCCATTGATTCCCAAAAAATCCCATTGATTCCTCGAAAAAAACCCCATTGATCCCAAAAAAAAATCCCCGTTGATTCTCAAAAAATCCCATTGATTCCTCAAAAAAAAACCCCCCATTGATTCCCAAAATATTCCATTGATTCCCTCCAAATAACCCCATTGATCCCAAAAATTCCATTGATTCCCAAAAAACCCCATTGATTCCCCCCCAAAAAACCCCATTGATCATAAAATATTCCATTGATTCCCCCCAGAAAACCCCATTGATCCCCAAAAAAACCCCACTGATCCCCCCCAAAAAAACCCCATTAATAAAAAAAAAATTCTATTGATTCCCCCCAAAAAAACCCAATTCCCCACAAAAAAACCCAATCCCAAAAAAAACCCCCATTGGTCCCCAAAAAATTCCATTGATTCCCAAAAAATCTCATTGATTCCAAAAAAACCCATTGATCCCAAAAATTCCATTGATTCGCGAAAAATCCCATTGATTCCCCCACAAAAAAACCCCATTGATCCCCAAAAAAACCCCATTAATAAAAAAAAAAATTCTATTGATTCCCCCCAAAAAAACCCAATTCCCCCCAAAAAAACCCAATCGATCCCAATAAAATTCCATTGATTCCCCCCAAAAACCCCCATTGATCCCAAATAAACCCCATTGATCCCAAAAAGGGTCCCAGGTGCCACCACCCCGGGGGCCACCAGCCCTGAGGGGACAGCGGGGTCACCAAGGGCACAAATCCAAAAAAAACCCCATTGATCCCAAAATATTCCATTGATTCCTCCCAAAAATCCCATTGATCCCAAAAAATCCCATTGATTCTCAAAATATTCCATTGATTCCCAAAATATTCCATTGATTCCCCCCAAAAAACCCCACTGATCCCAAAAAAAACCCCCATTGATCCCCAAAAAATTCCATTGATTCCCAAAAAATCTCATTGATTCCAAAAAAAACCCATTGATCCCAAAAAAACCCCATTCATCCCAAAAAATCCCGTTGATCCCAAAAAAACCTGCATTGATCCCAAAAAACCCCATTGATTCCCCAAAAAAAACCCCATTGATCCCAAAAAAATCCCAGTGATCCCAAAAAAGGGTCTGGGTGGGTTCCGCACCCCCATCACCCCCTCCCCAAAAAGGGATCCCAGGGATTCCCATCCCCACTGACACCCCAAAGGGGTCCCACTGCCCCCCATGGTGACAATGACCTCAAGGTGTCCCCAAGGGGGACAATGACCTCAAATCCTAACCTTCATGGGGACAGGGACAGCAGAGTGTCCCCAGTGGGAACAATGACCTCAAATCCTAACCCTCATGGGGACAATGACCCCAAAGTGTCCCCAAGGGGGACAATGACCTGAAATCCCACCCCCGTAGGGACAATGACCCCAAAGTGTCCCCAAGGGGGACAATGACCTGAAATCCCACCCCCTCCAATGGGGACAACGACCTCGAGGTGTCCCCAATGGGGACAATGACCTCAAATCCCACCCCACCATGGGGACAGGGACAGCAGAGTGTCCCCACTGGGGACAGGGACCTTAAAACTCATCCCCATGGTGACAATGCCCCCAAAGTGTCCCCAGTGGGGACAATGACCTCAGATCCCACCCCCACCATGGTGACAATGACCCCAAGGTGTCCCCAATGGTGACAATGATCTCAAACCATCCCCTCCATGGGGACAATGACCCCAAAATGTCCCCCCCAATGGTGACAATGTCTCCGAGGTGTCCCCAATGGGGACAATGACCTCAAACTCCCGTCCCCCATGGTGACAATGACCTTGAGGTGTCCCCAATGAGGACAAGGACCTCAAATCCCACCCCCATGATCTGAGGTGACCTCGAGGTGTCCCCAGGGGTGACAATGCCCCCGAGGTGTCCCCTCCAGGTCCCCTGTCCCCCTCACCGTCGATGCTGAAGCCGGTGGCCGCCTCCAGCTGCCGCCGTCCCCTCCCGGCCGTGGCCACCTGCAGGGCCACCAGCACCGAGGTGGCCCCGTAGGGCGCGAAGACCACGTTGGTGTCACCGCGGGCCACCAGCGCCGCCCGGAACAGCCGCAGCCCGAAATCTGTCACCAGCTGGGCCACCTGGGCGGGTTCCGGTGTCCCTGAGCCCGCCAAGGCCACCAGGGCCACCAGGGCCACCAGGGCCACCAGGGCCACCTGGGTCACCCGCATCCTGGGGGGACATGGGGACACTGGGGTCAGTGGGGTCACTGGGGACAGTGGGGACACGAGACACTGGGGACACTGGGGACACTGGGGACAGTGGGGACAATGGGGACAGTGGGGACACGAGACACTGGGGACACTGGGGACACTGGGGACACTGGGGACACTGGGGACATTGGGGACAGTGGGGACAATGGAGACACTGGGGACACTGGGGCAGCCCCATCCCAGGGGACACCGAGGTGACACTTGGGGTGGCACCAGGGTGGGTCCAGTGCTGGTGTCACCCCCAGTCCCAGTCCTGATCATAAACCCAGTTCTATGTTCCCTGTCACCCCCCCGTGTCCCCTGGGTGTCCCCTGGGTGTCACCCCGGGGTGACGCCAGGGCCCCCCCATGTCCCTGTGTCCCCTGTCACCCCTGGGTGTCCCCCCCCGCTGTCACCCCGGGGTGACGCCAGGGCCCCTTCCTGCGGGGTGACGCGGTGGCGGCTGCGGTGGCAGCGATGGTGACACCGGGGACAGACGCGTGGGGGGAGGGGAGCTGGGGGTGCCCCGAGCTCCCTTTGGGGTCTGGGGTCTGTTCCAGAGACCCACAGATCCCCTATGGACCCCATAGATCCCTTATAGACCCCACAGATCCCCTATAAACCCCACAGACCCCACAGATCCCCTATGGACCCCATAAATCCCCCAGAGACCCCACAGATCCCCTATAGATCCCATAAACACCCTCAGTGCCCCATAGATCCCCTATAAACCCCATAGATCCCCTATGGACCCCATAGACCCCATAGATCCTATATAAACCCCATAGATCCCCTACAGACCCCACAGACCCCACAGATCCCCTATAAATCCCATAGACCCCTATAAACCCCATAGACCCCTATGGACCCCATAGATCCTATAGACCCCATAGATCCCATATAGACCCCAGAGATCCCCTATGAACCCCATAGACCCCTATAAACCCCATAGATCCCCTATAGACCTCATAGATTCTATATAAACCCCATAGATCCCCTATAAATCCCATAGACCCCTATAAACCCCATAGATCCCCTATGGACCCCATAGACCCCATAGATCCTATATAAACCCCATAGATTCCCTATAGACCCCATAGACCCCTATAGACCCCACAGATCCCCTATAGACCCCATAGACCTCATAAATCCCCTATGGACCCCAGAGATCCCTTACAGACCCCACAGATCCCATAGACCCCATAAATCCCCTATGGACCCCATAGATCCCCTACAGACCCCACAGATCCCCTATAAATCCCACAGAGGCCATAGATATCCCCCAGTGCCCCGCAGACCCCATAGACCCCATAAACATCCCCCCAGTGCCCCATAGATCCCCTACAGACCCCATAGACCCCATAAATTCCCTCTCTGGGACCCCCCAAACCCCACCCCGGACCCCCCCCGGGGGTGACTCATTTTGGGGTGACTCAGCCGGGTCTCGGCTCCTTCCTGTGGGGTCCCCAGGGAGGGGGGGGGCGTCACATCCAGCTCATCCCAAATTCCTTGTGATTCACCCCAAAAACGGGCACCGGGCCCCGAATCCATCCCAAAAACCTCGCTGTGACCCCAAAAGCTGGAGGGATTCACCCCAAAAAATTCCACAGCCCCAAACTGACCAAACTGAACCCAAACTGACCCCAAAACTGAACAGATCCACCCCAAAATCTCCATGGATTCACCCCAAAATCTCCATGGATTCACCCCAAAATCTCCACGGATTCACCCCCAAATCCCTGTGGATTCACCCCAAATCCTCACTGCACCCCAAAAATGGAGGGATTCACTCCAAAAAATTCCACAGATGCAAATTCATTGGGATTGACCCCAAAATTCCATGAATCCACCCCAAAATCTTCATGGATTCACCCCAAATTCTCATTGCACCCCAAAAACGAAGGGATTCACCCCCAAATCCCTGTGGATTCACCCCAAATCCTCACTGCACCCCAAAAATGGAGGGATTCACTCCAAAAAATTCCACAGATGCAAATTCATTGGGATTGACCCCAAAATTCCATGAATCCACCCCAAAATCTCCATGGATTCACCCCAAATCCTCACTGCACCCCAAAACTGAAGGGATTTACCCCAAAAATTCCACAGATGCAAATTCATTGGGATTGACCCCAAAACTGGACAGATCCACCCCAAAAAAATCACGTGAATTCACCCCAAATCCTCCCTGCACCCCAAAAACGAAGGGATTCACCCCAAAACCCTCCACAGATCCAAAACGGAAGAGATTAACCCCAAATCTCCATGGATTCACCCCAAATCCTCCCTGCACCCCAAAAACGAAGGGATTCACCCCAAAACCTCCAGCAGACCCCAAATCTGTCCCCATCCCCAGCGCTGCCACCCCACAGGGGTGTCCTGTGTCCCCCCAATGTCCCAAATCCCGTGTAATGTCCCCAAATCCCATGTCCCAAATCCCATGTCCCATGTTCCGTGTCCCCTCCATGTCCCAAATCCCGTGTCCCATGTCCCTTGTCCCAAATCCCGTGTCCCAAATCCCGTGTCCCCTCCATGTCCCAAATCCCGTGTCCCATGTCCCTTGTCCCAAATCCCGTGTCCCCCTCAGTGTCACAAATCCCATGCCCCAAATGTCCCAAATCCTGTGACCCCCCCCACAGTGTGCCACATCCCGTGTCCCTCCCAACGTCCCGTGTCCCCCAAATGTCCCAAATCCCGTGTCCCTTCCAATGTCCCGTGTCCCCATCCCGTGTCCCACATTCCCTGTCCAATGTCTGTGTCCCATGTCCTCATCCCATGTCCCAGCAATGTCCCATGTTTCCATCCCATGTCCCATGTCCCCATCCCGTGTCCCTTGTCCTGTGTCCCATGTCCCATGTCCCATGTCCCATGTCCCATGTCCCATGTCCCGTGTCCCCTGTGCCACAACCTGACCCCGTGCCCCACATCCCCATCCCACATTTCCCTGTGACCCATGTCCCCACCCCGTGTCGTGTGTCCCTTGTCCCTTGTCCCACCTCCCCATCCCCTCATCCCCCTCCCCATCCAGTGTCCCCTGTCCCCATCCCGTGTCCCACCTCCCCATCCCATGTCCCCTGTCCCCATCCTGTGTCCCATGTCCCTATCCCATGTCCCGTGTCTCCTGTCCCACATCCTGACCCCGTGCCCCACATCCCCATCCCATGTTCCCCCCGTCCAAAAACGAAGGGATTCACCCCAAAACCTCCACAGATCCAAAACGGAAGAGATTAACCCCGAATCTCCGTGGATTCACCCCAAATCCTCCCTGCACCCCAAAAACGAAGGGATTCACCCCAAAACCTCCACAGATCCAAAACGGAAGAGATTAACCCCGAATCTCCGTGGATTCACCCCAAATCCTCCCTGCACCCCAAAAACGAAGGGATTCACCCCAAAACCTCCACAGATCCAAAACGGAAGAGATTAACCCCGAATCTCCGTGGATTCACCCCAAATCCTCCCTGCACCCCAAAAACGAAGGGATTCACCCCAAAACCTCCACAGATCCAAAACGGAAGAGATTAACCCCGAATCTCCGTGGATTCACCCCAAATCCTCCCTGCACCCCAAAAACGAAGGGATTCACCCCAAAACCTCCACAGATCCAAAACGGAAGAGATTAACCCCGAATCTCCGTGGATTCACCCCAAATCCTCCCTGCACCCCAAAAACGAAGGGATTCACCCCAAAACCTCCACAGATCCAAAACGGAAGAGATTAACCCCGAATCTCCGTGGATTCACCCCAAATCCTCCCTGCACCCCAAAAACGAAGGGATTCACCCCAAAACCTCCACAGATCCAAAACGGAAGAGATTAACCCCGAATCTCCGTGGATTCACCCCAAATCCTCCCTGCACCCCAAAAACGAAGGGATTCACCCCAAAACCTCCACAGATCCAAAACGGAAGAGATTAACCCCGAATCTCCGTGGATTCACCCCAAATCCTCCCTGCACCCCAAAAACGAAGGGATTCACCCCAAAACCTCCACAGATCCAAAACGGAAGAGATTAACCCCGAATCTCCGTGGATTCACCCCAAATCCTCCCTGCACCCCAAAAACGAAGGGATTCACCCCAAAACCTCCACAGATCCAAAACGGAAGAGATTAACCCCGAATCTCCGTGGATTCACCCCAAATCCTCCCTGCACCCCAAAAACGAAGGGATTCACCCCAAAACCTCCACAGATCCAAAACGGAAGAGATTAACCCCGAATCTCCGTGGATTCACCCCAAATCCTCCCTGCACCCCAAAAACGAAGGGATTCACCCCAAAACCTCCACAGATCCAAAACGGAAGAGATTAACCCCGAATCTCCGTGGATTCACCCCAAATCCTCCCTGCACCCCAAAAACGAAGGGATTCACCCCAAAACCTCCAGCAGACCCCAAATCTGTCCCCATCCCCAGCGCTGCCACCCCACAGGGGTGTCCTGTGTCCCCCCAATGTCCCAAATCCCGTGTAATGTCCCCAAGTCCCATGTCCCCATCCCGTGTCCCACATTCCCTGTCCAATGTCTGTGTCCCATGTCCTCATCCCATGTCCCAGCAACGTCCCATGTTTCCATCCCATGTCCCATGTCCCCATCCCGTGTCCCTTGTCCTGTGTCCCATGTCCCATGTCCCATGTCCCATGTCCCATGTCCCATGTCCCGTGTCCCCTGTGCCACAACCTGACCCCGTGCCCCACATCCCCATCCCACATTTCCCTGTGACCCATGTCCCCACCCCGTGTCGTGTGTCCCTTGTCCCTTGTCCCACCTCCCCATCCCCTCATCCACCTCCCCATCCAGTGTCCCCTGTCCCCATCCCGTGTCCCACCTCCCCATCCCATGTCCCCTGTCCCCATCCTGTGTCCCATGTCCCTATCCCATGTCCCGTGTCTCCTGTCCCACATCCTGACCCCGTGCCCCACATCCCCATCCCATGTTCCCCCCGTGATCCATGTCCCCACCCCGTGTCGTGTGTCCCTTGTCC